TGTCATTTATGAAACCCTAAGCCCCTCAAGACCCTACTCCAAGATTTTTCTAGCTAACATAAGTTCTTCTGCTTGAGGCTAAACATAGATTAAGAGCTCCTCCCTAATCTCCTCATTTCTTCTTCTTTCATCTGTATTATTCTGTATTATATATTAAAGCACCCTCACCATATCAAGTCCCACAGACAGTCTTGGTCCATCTTTTATCTCATGGATTTGGCTCATCATTCCCTCCTTGACTTACTTTATTCATGGGGCTTCTGGGACGTCACTCTGTCTTGGTCCTTCTACATCACTGCTTCTCTTTCGTGGCCTTCTTTGTTGATTCTTCCTCAGCTTTGTGGCCTCCTTACACTGGAGGCCTGCAAGGCTCAGTGCTTGGACATCTTCTCTATCCACACTTACCCCAGAAGTCACCCCAGTCAGCACCCATGCCACTATCTAAGTAGTGTTAGCTCCTCTGGCCAGACTTCCTGGAATTCAATTTCTATTTCTAATTTGAAGCAGTACTAAATTCTGCTACATGAAGAGCCAGTTGCTCATAAGCTACTCCTTCAGCACTGCCATTCCTCCAGTGGGCTAAGACACATATCATTTCAATTTCTGGCAAATTTACAGGACATAATTCCATTGTAAATTGAGTATGAAAAGATGCTCTACTCACCGTGGACATTTTCCGCTCTAAATCCAGATCAGCCATTCTCGAACGGGCCCTGCTTCCTTTTGGGTGAGAAAGGTATTAAGAGACCACACTTCAGGCCTATGCATGCTTATGAGCTATTGGTTGGTCATTGTCTGTAGGCTGTTCCAGTGAACTTAGGAAGTGTGTGAATTTAAGATAAACCATATCATGAGTTCAAATTGAGCTTCCAAGCAAACTCAGAACTAAAAACATTTTAAGTCTCTCTTTCCTGTTTTCTGTTTGCTCATATGAAAAGCTGGTTGTCAACAATTATCAGCATATTCACTTTCTCTGACAACAGACATACAACATTCTCAGAATTATAATCTCACACATATAATAGTATCACAAGCAAAACAACTGCTGTGAGGTTTTTGCTTATTTATCCATCTTTTATTTAGTTTTCTTGAAGTGCTGGGATTGAACTGAGAGCTTTGTGCATGCCAGGCAAGAGTGCAGGGCAAATAGCCTATAATCATTTACTTATTCATTGCCATCTTTTTTTGTCCTTAGTGTATAGCTAAGAATGCATAGCAAAGTTCCTGAATTTTTAAGTTATTTGAAATAATTCCTTCCTATATGTCAACAACTTGATATATAATTAGAACTACTTACTTCATTTTCAATTTTTTAGGTATTAAAATACATTTTAATAATTATATATATGTTAAAAATTGACAAAGAGGTCTATTTACCTTTGGGGAGCTGTAAGTCCAAGATCAGGTGGCCTCATCAGTTCTATCGCTGTATGATGGGCCCCTAGGCTTTACCCACATGAAGGATGGTCTCATGGCGAGACTCATTAGAGAGAAGACCATATAGAGAGACAGGAAGCCAGAGAGCTTGAAGGGCCAGGCTCACTCTTTTATAACAAACTACAGTTAGAACTCAATCTGCAAGACCTGCACTAATTCTTTCTGAGGTCAATTCCTTCAAATACCCAAGTACCTCCCACTGGAACCTACTTGTAAATGGTTCTACTACTGCCAATATCACCTGTGGAGCCCACTTGTCGTGGTTCTACTACCGCCAACACCATCTAACTGGGGACCAAGCTTACATCACATGAGACTTTGCGGAACACATAAAACCATGCCAATCCAATCCAATTTTCATGTTTTTTAGGACAATGTCTATTGATTTTTTTTTTGGTACCATTCTGGTGACCTCTGAGCTTCATTTTGTTCAAGGTTAGTGCTGAACTACTTGAGCCACAGCCTGCTTTGGTTTTTTTTTTTTTTTTTTGAGTAGTTTATTGGAAATAAGAGCCTCATTGACTTTCCTGCTTGGGCTGGCTTTGAAACATGATCCTTAGATCTCAGCCTCTTGAACAGCAAGGATTACAGGCATGAGCCACCAGTGCCCAGTTTCCTTATGGATTCTTTTTGTGTGTGTTTGCCCATCTTGGAGCTTGGCTCAGGGCCTGGATACTGGTTTAGAGCTTTTGTGCTCAAGGCTAGTTACTCTACCACTTGAGCCACAGCTCCATTTTCAGCTTTTTGGTGGTTAATTGGGAGATAAGGGGTCTCAAGGACTTTCCTGCCCATGATGACTTCGAATGGCTAGGATTGCAGGTGTGAGCCACTGAAGCCCAGCTTCTTTATGGATTTTGGTTTCACAAACTTCAGATAAAATTACCAAACTCATGTGTGATTTTCACATACATGGCATAAGATTTCTCTGATGAAAAATTTCTTGCCCCAAATCATGCAGCTGGTAATTTGTAAAGAAAAAACTGAGAATTTTCAAAAGAAATGCATCAATTTGAAGTATTCTTGTTTATATTTATAAATTTATTTTCTGCAATTTCATTTGGTTTTGCTTATCCTAAAGCCCTTGGAACAGGAGCTTCATTCATCCTGTCTTCAGGTAGTCCACAGACCCAGAGAACAGTCTGGGTGAGTTCAGTGCCAGTTTCTAGGACAACATGCATGAGAGGCACAGAGGAGAGGTAACTAATTGTCAGGACAGCTGAAGGAATTCCCCAGAAAGTGCTTTTGGAGTTGGATCTCAAAGAATGAGTTTTACCAATGGAGAGGAAAAAGCACCCAATAATTTCAAAGAGTTCAGACCATGATCTCTTGTTCTAAGGCTTTTGGATAGCATATGAGGATGGTGAGAACAAGTGGTAGAGGAGAACTGCTCTCCTCGCAGAAGACAGGAAGCAGAGAAAAGGCAATTATGCAAGTACATTTGACCCTTGGTGTTCACGAGGCATTTAGTGCTAAGATCCCTTATCGATACCAAAATGCACAAATGATTGAATATCTTACATGCAATTAAATGTGCATATAACCCACAGATGTCCTCCCAAATACTTTAATCTCATTACTTACAATACCTATTACAATGTAAATGCTATGTAAATAGTTGCATTGTCCATGGAATAATGACAAGAAATAAGTCTACCTGTTCAATACAGACATATCTGGATATTTTTCAAATGAGGTTTGAATTCATGAGTATTGAACTCATGATAAGGAGGGCTAACTTATCCACACAGTTCTAAAGCCAAATTATAAGCAAATCATACCACAGGTTATTATTACAGCCTTGTCCCCTATGCTTCTCCTAGGGTGACCATTTTTTTGTTTTCTACCTATTATGAGTCAACATTGCACACCCACTGTCAGCAGCTTTCTTCCATGCAAGGAGTTGACTCTACCTATGTATGCTATCATAATTAGTTCACAGGTGAGTGAGCCCTAACAAGATACGGAAGTCTTAATTTTAGTTGCCTCAAAAACAATGTTCTTCAAAGGGAAGTGGGGAGTTAGTGTTCAGTGGGCTCAGAGATTTTGTGCAAGGGATTAAGTTGTAGAGTGGCGGCAGCTGTACAATATGAATGTACCTATTGCCACACTCCATTGTACATTTTAAATGGTCCAAATGGTAAATCTTGTCTCACACACACACCCATATAAATTAAAAAATAAGTAGGAAAAGTGTAAAACACTATTAAAAGTTACTGATGAGTGGTGTTTTTTTTCTACAAGAAATGTAAATTCGTATTCAACCTTACACAGAAATGAAAACTTTATACCTGAACTAAATGAAGGAACTGTACATGTCCCACTGCAGGGCCATTGTAGAGGTCCTCACCTCCACCGTTTTTGAAGTGATGAAAGAAAGTCACATGCCAGGTCAGTCACATGTTGGCTGCATCAAGCCTTCTATCTTTATTATCCAGAGATTCTTTTCCCCACTGTTACAATAAGTGAGGGTTGGCCATGTTCCAAACTTAATGTTATTTTGCATGGATTCTGTCTCTAGACTTTTATTTATCTTATTGCTGGGGTGACTTGAATTTTATGGCTCCTAAATGAGATGTTTATGATTAGGGACTCTAGTTCAGTGATAGATTCTTCGACCTATCCCTAATGTTGTTTGGTATGGTTTATTACCGTGGGCAGAGATTTCAAAGGCTCAGGCAAAACTACAGAGACCTTCCTGAAGCTTGAAGCCTGAATGACTCAGGAATGGGAGTGCTGTCATGCCCCTTCACCATGTCTTCTTCAAGAACTCTTCACCTTGCCACTGATAGAGAGTACTTGTGATGCCACAAGATCCTTGATTACTGGTGTTCACGTGGTATACAGCTGTCTTTCCTTAGTTGTAAAAGTACAGTACTACCAATTCTTCAAGTAGAACCCCCTACCCCTACAACTATTGGCTTCCTGCAGAATGCTTTTTTTTTTTTCTTTTCCCTCCATCCCTGGAACTACAAGGAGCCAAGTAACAGTGAATGGACTCCTCTGCCAAAGGCACTGGTCGCACCAGCAGGATCAGCATTTGCAATCTGAGCTGCAGCTATTTCAGTGTAGTTGTTTGCAGCGATGTGGAGTACAGGGTGGAGGTGTGCACACATAGCTGCTAAAAAAAAAAAAAAGAACACTTTAGCCCAGAATATTCACCTCAAAAGAAGTAAGGGAGATGATAAAGATCAAAGCCTTGAAGCTGAAGAAGACAAGCCAGAGTAATAATGTGTCTCTATGAGCACTTGGGAATACTAGAACAATCCAATGTCTGTGGGACAAGCATTCACCCACATTATCTGGTAGAAGGACCTCAAGACCTTTTTTGAAATCTGTATCACAGAACTGCTACAAAAGCAGAGAAACTAGTATGAGGATTCCCAAACACTCAACCTCTGCTCCAATAACAGCCAACATTTTGTCAGTTTTGTTTTATTTATCCCTCACATTTTCTTTCCCTCAGGATTTTAAAGGAAATTTCAATAACCAAGTTATTTTTACCCCAAAGTATTTCAGGATCCTACTCCTGTTAGGATTGTCTAATAATGAATACCCCATGTTCATCAGCAGAAAATCAGCAATTTTTTTTAATACAGATGTGGTACAGAGTGTTTAATTACAGCAGGGCAGTGATTCCAGTTAAATAAAATTAAAAATTTTTATTTTCCCAAATATAAAATTACTAAATTAATGTCTTAAAAGAAAATATAACATGGTGAAAGCTTTAAATTATACCCCATTCACCACAGGATTTATGAATAACCAATCACATATTCCATCATTTTGGCAAAAAGATGAACTTTTTAACAGTTTATAAACCTAATATAGCAAAGACTGTATACATCTCCATATTGCACATTTTATGTACAAGAATAAAACAGTAAGGTCAGTGTATTGCATATAGAATAAAGAACAACACAAATTTATCACAAGTAAACTTATGAAGAAGCAGATGTATTAAAAATGTAGAAATGTAATACATGTATGTACATGATACTGAGGCTGTATTAACAAACTGTATGTACACAGTGATATGCTGTACTATATTTTACTTTTTAGCATAGTTGGGTTTGTTAGTTACAGGCCTTTGGTTCTAAACTGCCTGCCTGACTAGTTTTAAGCTCACATAGTTCCTTAAGCCTTCATATGTTTTAAATGCAAGGAATGAATATAAAAGCACTAAATCTTCTTGTTCACTGGTACAAAAATTACAACATTCAGTTCCCTTAGGTCATCAAAAACTAGTCACAAAAATAGTTCTTGTATTCAACCTGAATGTGCCACAGGAAAAAAAAATAGTATTTTCAAGATTCTCCAGCTCAGCCTAGAGGCGGAAGGCCCCTAGCCTTCGGTTCAGTGCCTCTGTCCTTGCTTTGTACTATTTGTTTAGTCATTTAGTTTTACTACTACTCTGTAGGGAAGAATAAAATTTAACTCCAATTTAAAAGTGTCCACATATTAACATTACAACACATGGTAAACTCTGAATATTGCCAGTGAGATTAAAAAAAATAGGTACACCTTCTTTCAACTTTATAGAACATCTGCTATGAAATACCACAGTCCTTAATCCCTTTTGTTCCCTTTCCCCATGGCTTCTCCCTGGGCTCACTCTCCTGGGGACGAGCTATGGGAATCATCCTGAGTTTACAAATGACAAACAAGTCCCTGCCTGTGGGCCACAAGGCGAAATCACACAACCGAGGAGGAGCTGGTCAACCCGTGAACCATTGTGCTTGTTGGAGTTCCACTGATGGCATTGAAGATATGAAGGGAGTTCGGCAAAATGCTGGTCTTCTCCTCCAAGGGGCAAATCTCGAGGCACAGAAACACAATGTTACAATAGTACAAGGCCCAGACAATCTTCAGAACTGTGCTTAGGTAACATACACAACTTATCATCAGTGCCATCCCTTATTGCCAATTACAGTACAGCCATGGCTTTGGCAGTTTGCAGAGTGGGTTTCTGCTTATTGGATAAATGGTTATCTTCAGTTTGGGATTGGAAGAGGAAGTCAAGAAAAGCATGCAGTTTCTTTTATAAGTTAGTGAGTAGGCAGCCTTCTATAGTCACCAGATCTTAAAGTGACCTGAGGTTTACTGTACAATTTGATTTGGTCATGACCTAGGCTTATCCCTTGAAAAAGCCTTTTGAAATGAATTGGAGCATCTTGTTTCTCTCTTGTCTCCTTCTCCTAGGTCCTATAGACCATCCTGGGTAAGAGAGTGTGGCTCTTCCTTCCTGCCACTGAACAAGTACTTCACAGCTAGTATTGTAGGAAGAAACCTGGTTTAGACCTGACCTGAACAGACCTGCACAGAGGCTCCTCTGGAAGCAGCAAAAGCAGCCAGCTCAAGTCACAATCCCTTTTGCTTCAGCAGCCTTCCTTCCTTCCTCCCTCCTTCCTTCCGTGGGACTTGAGCTCAGGGCCTGGGTGTTTTCCTGAGCTCTTTTGCTCAAGGCTAGTGCTCTACCACATTGAGCCACAGTGCCAATTCCAGTTTTCTGGTAGTTAACTAGAGGGAGAAAAGAGTCTCACAGACTTTCCTGCTCAGGCTAGCTTTGAACTGTGATTCTCAGATCTCAGCCATCTGAGTAGCTAGGATTACAGGTGTGTGCTTAAACATTCAAAAGGGTTTAATCTTCATGGTGGTTGACATAATGGAAAATTCAAGGTACAATGAAGAGTAAATCATTGCTGTACATCTGGGAATTTAACAATTTCATGTAATTTCTTCCTACTTTCATCTTTTCTAGTGTCGAATGCTGGGCCCTACTGACCAAGCTCTCTGTTCTATAGGAATCTAAAGGTTTCATGGGGAAAAAAATCTCATTTTCTCCATAAATTTATTCCTATAGGACCCTCTTTTTTGGCTTAACAATCCACACATTCATTTCTATAGTCATTTAATTTTTTTGTATTTTTTCAATGTTCATAGAGGCTGCTTTCCTTTGAACATGTACTATCCCTTGTCCGCAACTGTTCAAACTCAGTAGCAATTTCATATGTGTATGTTTAAATGAGTTAGTTATCAGAAAAATAAAACCAAAAACTTGACATTACCATCCCATCTGGGCATGTCAGCATGGAGGAGAAAAAAATAAAATTAAGTTAAAGCTCATATATTGAAATTCATTTCTTACTATGGAAGTTTCCCAAACAAACCCCGCTGTGCTAAGATAACTGACATACAGGCCTGGCTTCCATTCTGCAAGGCCAAAAGATGGTAACACAGGAAACAGACAAACCCAGTCACCCATGGACAAGGTGCTAATGCTAATTGTAAAGATGGGGCCAGAAAATCAGATGAATGTATGCTGGCTGCTGACATTCACTTGGTGCCCTGGTCAGATAGATGGCTCCTCTGTTGACCATCCAGCCCACAGAAAATTCATATAGGAAGGACACAAGAGCAATGAGGTCAGGAAAGATGCTCATAAATACAAGAAACAAAAAACAGCAGCAAAAAATCCAGAATACCAGATCAGCTTTAAATAGCCCAAACTGGAATAATGCTATATTTTAAATGATAAAAAATGATACTTCCTTAATCCAGGTTCTATTGAAATACTGCATATAAAGAAAGGTTTATGTACAAGCAGTATGAATATGGATTCTTTTGGCTTGCCTGTGGTAGGGCAAGGCCAAACGTATGAAATGCAGCCCCTGTAAAAGCAATGATGGTGTGCTTCCACCTTGGGTTGCTTTAGATCATAGATGTGCAGTCTGCAAGCTAGGGCTATGTTTTTCTTCAGATACTAAAATTCTGGAAGGCTCGATTCATCATGGGGTATATCTGAGATCCCAATGAATCCCTGTGGCCTAAAAGAGAACACCAAGTTGCTGGAGTGAATATGGCATTTACCTGCTCATGCATGATTTCAGACAGCTCCTTTGCCATTTCCCTGTAGTTGGCCTTCATTTCTTCCTGATATTCTAACTGGTCTTCTTTAATCAGCCGTTCATTTACTGCGAGGGCCTGACCACAAGCTTCAACAAATTGCCTGAAATAGTTGGGAGGGGGGAGAGAGAGAGAGAGAGAGAGAGAGAGAGAGAGAGAGAGAGAGAGAGAGAGAGAGA